CGGGCGGGGGGAAGGGGAGAGGAGACACTCTTAGCCTGGCCGGGGGGTGGGGGGGTGCACCTGGGGAGGAGGCACACCGTGGAGGTGGAAGGAGCGGGGAGGTGAGAGACGCACCTAACCTGGGGGCATGGGCACCTGGAGAGGAAGCGCAACCGGGGAAGGGGCTTTGCGCCCCTAGCAGGGAGGCGCGTCGAGAGGGGGTTGGCTCTCACCTCGCCCGGGGTGCACAGCCAGTTCCGCATAACGACAACCCACACCCAAACGGCAAGGGGCTGACGATGCTGACTCACCGTCCCCCGCGCCGCCGCCGATTCAAACGCGGCCCGCGCCCCGCCCGCCCCGCGTCGGCCCCGCCCCCGGTGACGTAAATTAGACCCGCCCGCCCACCCGTGCCGGCCCCGCCCCCGGGTGACGCACCCTTCGATCGGCCCCGCGTCAGCCCCGCCCCGAGTGACGTAACCCTGAGACCCGCACCGCCCACGCCGTGCCGGCCCGGTCCCCGAACGTCCGACGCGCCCCGCGCCAGCCCAGCCCCCTCTGACGCAGCCCTTTGACCCGACCCGATCCGGCCCAGCCGCACCTGTCCCGGGGCCGCGGACAGGTGCGCGTGGGCGGGGCCAGCCAGCCTGAGTCCTCCGAACCCCCAATCCCTCGCCGCCCTGTGTGTGGGCCCCGGGCGGGGCGCGCACCTCCTGACACAGGCACCTGCCCCTCCAGCCTCTTGGCGCCTCGAGGCAGCGTGCCCAAAACCCAGGTCCAGGTGCACGCGGGGGCTTCGCTCGGCAGGGCCGCTTTTGTTCAGGGAAAGGGTCTTCGCTCGGGGCGGACCGGCTCAGGTGTGAGCACGCTGTGGCCCAGGGCCAAGCCGGGGTCAGGATGAACACGCCCTGCCCCTGCCCTCGAGGTCACTGCGAGCCCTCGAGGTCACTGCGAGCCCTCGAGGTCACTGCGAGCCCGCAGCCCCGCCGCCAGGCCCTCCGGCCCCTCCATTGTCCGTCTGGTGTCGGGATGAAGGCTCTCCCGCCCTTTACTCCCAGCCACTCCCGGCAGTGAGCTCCGCAGACGACTATTTCAATGGTCACTATTTTAATCTGAAACCTGCTCACATGAAGTGGAAGGCAAAGGAAACGGAATCTGACAAATGGCCCTGAAATTATTCCACTAAATCCATTAACTACACAATTAGTCTATTTATTTTAGAGTTTACTCCTCTGTAGGCAGTGCACTGGTAAGGACAGAACCCGAGCCACACTACCCTATGTAAGGAGAAACCAGCCGGTCTACATCTGCCAGCCTCAGGAGGTAGGGCGGGCTCTTTCCCGGCGCCCCTGAGCAGCAGAAAGGTGGCTGGCTAGGGACCTCCTGGGGCCAGAGGGCAGTACTGGGGAGTCCTAACTGGGCCCGTATTATTGCGGTATGACAACACGTGATCTCGGGAGAGAACAGGAGGGTCCCACCGATGGTGGCAGCTCATGATTTTAACAGCAACAAAAATGTACTATCTGTAAACAAGCAAAGTTGATCCTGAAAAGACATTAACGTCTTCACTCTGGGTAGCTGGTTCACGGAACATTTAGGTGAAGGAAAGAAGGACCTGCAAAATGCTCAGTGACGCACGCAAACAGGCTGAGGACCTCCTGCTGGAAGGATGACAGCTGGGCACACTGAAAATACATGGATTTGATCTGGAGCTGCCATACCTGCCTCGAGGCCGCTTTCAAAGCACAGGTGCACCCAGCTCTATCCGTTCCTCGGGGAACAGAGCTGAGTACGGCCTCAGCCGTTTAGGGCAGGGAGTGTCTTGCCTAATGACTTCTAGGATGCTCCAATTTTACTATTACTACCTTTAAACTGGGGAAAATAAGCTTTATTTTTAAAAACTCTGCATAAAACCCAAAACAATAAAATCAAACATGCCATTCATACCAATGGCTTTCTGGCTCCTGTCCAGGTGGAAACACACCTGCCCCGTGTGCTTTAACCACGCGGGTAGGGCAGCCAAGCACCAGAGTCTAGAATTCTCTAGGGCAGCCGCTGAGAGACACCATACAGACTGTGCTCCTTGAATAACCAACCACTCAGCCCCCGAGTGCAAAGGGGACCTGCTCAGTGGCCAGACGGCTTGGGGCTGCCTTCCCGCGGCGGCTTTTGGCCAGATGTGCAAATGCTGGCACAGCTGGCCTCCGGGTGAGAGGCAGGGCTGAGTTCTCGAGCCCGCTGGCCACGTCGAGTCCACATATAACCAGAGACCTCTGTGGTTCAAGAGGGACACCTCGCTCAACCCCAATTCCAGGTCAAGCTCCAGTGTTCGTGTGTGTTGGTGCTTCAAAGAACACACACACAGAACCTACCCATGAAGGAGGTAAGACCTGAACAAATGCCCCTGGTCTAAGGCAGAGCCAGGACAGCGGTGGGCTGTCTTCACACCCACGTGGACAGGATTTCCACAAAAGCCCAGAGCACGGAAGCGGGGGTCACATGTTTGTGCCCAGCAAGGAGAGAAAGTCAGGGCTCGGAAAAAACCAGTAGGGGAAGGGGGTGGCTGCATCAAGGGTGCCCTCTCTCCCCACAGCGTCCCTTCCTAGGGGGCGGGGACAGCTCAATTCTAGAGGGTTCTTTCGCAGAGGAAACAGCTCCACAGCAGAGCCCGAGCGGGAACACCAGGGCTGTGCGGGAAGACACACTCAGCCACAGAATGTCTCCGGGCTTCTAGACGAGTGACCTTTGAAGAACCTCTTCAGAATGAGCACAGTGGCTCTAGGAAGGCCAGGCCGTGGCGGAAAGGCGGGGAATGCCCCAGGAGTCGGCTGTGACACCGGGGCAGGATTGCGCATGCCTGCCAGGTGTCCCTCACGTCAGCAGGAGGGACCACAGTGGCTCCCGGCCCCTTTCAAGTCCAGGACTTGCAATCTACAGGGCCGCTGGAAAGACACCCTCTCCTCCCCGACCTGGGCCGGTGCCATCTGCACCTGCGTCTCAGCTACGGGCCCTGAGGCTGGCGGTGTGACCAGGGTGCACAAGTTGTAGGGGGTGGAAAACAACGTGCACACACTCCTTGGCCATCAGCCACAGACGTTTATCTCTGGGTAGGAAAAAAAAGCCACAGACGTTTATCTCTGGGTAGGAAAAAACCAGGTAGGTACCTGGCCACCCGGAGCCCTGACACAGGTACACAGGGGCCTTCCCGGTCCCCCCTCCCCAGTCCCCAGGAGAGAAGGCGGAAAAGAAGGGGTGTGCTCCGGGGCCCCGGGCACAAGGACCGACTGCGCTGGAGCTGACTGGGCCGGGCCTCTCATTGGAGCAGCTTCCCTGTGCTGCCCACGGCCACACCGTCCCGGCCCACCCTGGGACTGAGAACACCGAAAGAGCCACAAACAGAGCCCTTGCCGAGTCTCCCTCTACCAGGACAGAGATGCAGGCTCAGGTCAGCCCGGCAACGTGAGCCCTCCGCAGCTGTGGCCACACGTGGGACCACCCAGACGTGGGCTGGGGGCCTGCACAGCCCAGCAAGGTCACCCCCTCCATCTCCACGCCCCTCCCCTCACCCAGTGCTTTCAGCACAACCCCCTCCCTCCGGCCGGGCTGCAATCACGTGGGTCATCAGTCCCCAAACCCTCGAAGACTCCCAGCAGCTAAGGGCCCCTCAGCGTGCCACGGCCTCTGGCCGTCCTCAACCCCACGCTCCTCCACTCTCGTCTTAGGGCCAGGTAGCTGCTGCCAGGGGTGGGGGTGGGGGGTTCCCAGAGCACAGGTGGCTTTCCTACAACAAGGAGCATTGTGCCATGTGTCTTGAAATAAATACAACTTAGGTGCAAAGAGAACTCGGGAGACGAGGAGGAAGTTTTAGACCTACCTGGGGGGGGCTCGGCAGCACCGCCGGGGGGCTCGAGCAGGTGGGCGCGGGCCGGGAGGGTGGGCAGGGTGGTCGGGGAGGAGCTGCCGGAGCCGGCACTGGACGCCAGGCTGGACGCCACGCTGGAACCCACGCTGGGGGCGAGCGGGTGAGCCACTGTGGACACTGACAGGTGGTTCTGCACAAAGACACACAAACAAGGTGAGCAGATGCGCGCGGAGAACAGCAACGTGACAGCTCAGTGACGGAGGCCACGGCGGGGGGGGTGGGAGGGGACACGGACGGGATGGTTGGCTAACTTCTTTCCGCAAAGCAACATATAAAGAAGTTGCACTCTTCCAAATATCCCAGAGGAGCTTTAAATGCCTAGTTGGTTACGATAACCAGGACAGAGTTACTAGCTGCTGCTCACCCAAGGACGGGCACAAATGCATCTAGAAAGTGTCCTATTTAGTGAGCTTTTCTGCAGAAATGGTTTTCAGGAGCAGACACATGGTGGTAAACAAAAAATCCACCAAAAGGCATCAGCAGAGAACCAACACAGCTTCTGAAAACAGAAAAAAATGATCTTGTTACCTGAGAAAGGTAAAAAGCATGGGGCAACGCCTGTGATCTCTATTTGGTAACAGATCAGAACCAGCACGGTCCTGGAAGGCGGCTGGCAGTGTGGACGGCACACTAATGACCCACAGGACAGGCTGCAAGCCAGGGCTCGGGGCTCCACACGCGGTGACTGAAGCGCGCCCCAGTCACCGTGCAGTCGGGGACCAGAAGCCACACTGGAGGGAAATGTGTGGCATCTGGTTTTTGCTTCAAAACGAGACAGAAGTTAGCTTTGTGCAGGGGCTACGAGACCATCCAAAGCAGGGAGGGCTTTACTAGTTTGTTGGCTTAAGTGAAATTTTCTACAGTAATAATAATAAAAGAATACATGTTTCGTGAGAGAAGGAGAGACATCTCACACAGGATAGTTTCTCTGAGTGTTTCCTCCTGGATGGCTGGCTGTGCTCAAGAGGGGCCCCCAGTGCAGACATCAGCCACTAGCACCAGGGACGCTGCGAAAGACTGCCACCGTTTTACATGAACCTGAACCGCACAAGTCTGGAGAGCGAGGTCCCCCGGCGCTCCCTGGGCTCAGGCTCAGAAGGTGGGCCCACTGCCTCCACACCGCAGGCCGCCTGTCCCATCCCCCAACTCCATCCCTCCTCTGGGCTGCGTGCGTCCCCAGCTGAGGCAGGAAGGCGGTGCAGGCACCCCAGTCTGCCTCACACGCTGAGCCAGGCTGGAAGCTGCTGGCCTGAGGCACCTGCTGTGGCTTCATCCACCCAAAAATCCATAGTGCAGGGAGACGTGTCCCTCAAAGACATCAGGTGACACTTTATCCTGAAACCTGAGGACACCCTCACTGGCGTCTCCCTGAGGCTACAGGGAGGGAGGGCCTGGAGCCGGCGGGTAGAGAGGTGCCCAGAAGCAAGGAAGGGGTCTCCAGAGGGCCGCCAGGCTGGCCTCCAGCCACGTGGCCTTTAAAACTGGGGGTCCCAGGGAAATGCTGGGAGCCACTCTGCTGACCTGGGGATCCCCAGGCTGGCTTTGGGATGGGACAAAGGACGTCTCTGGGCGCAGGCAGGCGGGGGACTGAAGATGAACCTGGCAAATCACTCCTGGCTGCTGGTGTACATGAGGACGCACTGGGCAGTGGCAGGCCAGCGCGACGTCCCCGGGGTGGCCCACACACCGGCAAAGCCGCCCCTGGGGTATCTGGGCCTGGCAGGTGTATGAGTCCCCTTGTGCACCTGCGATGTTTTGCCAACATATCAAGCTTCAGGTTCTTAATGAACGTCTTACCATTTTAATCTCTTTGAAACATCACAAAATAACTATGTTGCATTTTTACTTTCATCTCCCTTTCTGATTGCAAAGCTCCTGAGAGGAGACAAGAACCTACACAACTTGTCCTGGACGCTCTGGAGAGTCCTCTGAGGGTGGCCTCAGGTGGGCGCTGGGGAAAGCAGGGCAGAGGGGGACCGGATGCGTTGCCCGTGTAGGAATTAGGAATAAAGACCATAGCAGAGACCCGTGACAGGAGGCCACGTGCTCACCCAGAGGGGGCACGTCGGCTGCCACATGGAGCCCCCAGGCCTTCCAAGTGCGGATGGTGACGGAGAAAGACCGGTGTTCTGAGTGCAGAGAGCAGCAGTGGCCAGTGTGCTAGTGGAGGACCGTGTCCTCATGAAAAGGGGAAATCGCAGACAAACCCGGACGCAGGGGAGAGCATCAGGCAAGACAGAGGGGCCGGTCGGACGACTTCCGGACCGCAAGGGCGTCGGGGGCTGTCGCTGAAGCAGCCCCGTGGGCGGGCTCTGTTTGGGCAGCCCCAGGACACACGGAGACGGGCCACGAAGGGCACCCCTTGCTCCCCGCGGGGTTTTGGTTTTGTTGTTTCCAATGTGTAACACCAGTATTTTTTGACCATTGAAACAAAAGACCCTGCAACAGGCCAGTTTAAAAAGGTGAGTGGAAACATAATGACGCACCAAACAGACAATGGCCGGATGGCTCTTGGGTCAGAGGGAAGGCATGTGAACCCCAGCAGCCTGGGCTGCCCCCCCTGCCGTACCTGCTTGCCGTCCTGCTCGCTGGGCCGGTGGCTGCCCTCAGCAGGGGCCTCTCTCCGCTTTGCCTGCAACAGAAGAAGAAAGCAGCAATAGACTCCAAACACACAGACACCTACGCTTTGCTCGCAAGTGAGAAGATGCAGAGTCTGGAAGTCTCGGAAAACAGCAAAGGTGTTCAAGTCACTACCCTCCATCAGGTCTGACTCCATCTCTCACACCTGCTCAGTGACCTCTGACCTCTGGGCAGCGTGAGGGAGGGTGGGAGCTCTACGCTGTGCCCACCGCCCCCAAGCCTGAAGCAAAGGGTTATTCCGTTGAAAGTGCTGAACACAGGGGGGTGGGAGGGTAAGCTTCCTTTGTGAAGGCATGCCCTCCCCTCCCCCATACCTGGGAGCACTCCCTCGCCAACACAGTGGCTGCGGGACAGACCTCACCAAGTAACCCTGACCTGACATTACTTTCCCTCATACATTTACCGTCCCAGTTTACCACCCTGGAAACAGAAACCCCTTTTCTTTCATCTTGCCACTTCTGCACGATTTACTGCTCTTTGTTAAAAGGGTATTAAGCTGCCAGGTCTAACTGCTTCTCTATGAAGCCTCACAAACAGGTAAGTAATAACCCTTTCCTCCTGTTTATCTTTTGTCAGTTTAATTTGCAGGGGCCCCGGTGCTGAACCTAAGAGGGTAGTGGGAAACATTTTTTTCTGCCCTACACATATACAAATCGTGATTCTGACGAGCCACCTGCCAGGAACACTGTGCCCAATGAAGGCTTTGCTCAGAGTTCAGGACCAGTACTCCCACAGGTCAACATAAACACAAAACTGCAGACCAAGATGTCCTTCAGATCTAAGGAGTATCCTGATTTTTAAGACTCATTTTACAGTATGTGAACTCGTAGTGGTGGCTCAGGTCATCCTGGCCTTTCTTCCTTTCACTTTTTGGTTTCTGGATTTGTAAAAGAACCCAGAGTGATCACCAGGGGCAGAGGAGGGGAAGGTGTCCAGGCAAGCGCTGACTGGGCCCCTTCCTTCTACAGGACATTTGGCCATGGGCTCAACCCGGAGGTCATCCTGGTATTTCTGGGTCCCTTGCATCTCTCTCATCCAGAAGTGACCTCCCACCGGCAGAGTGGGGTGAAGGCCTCCGAAGTCACTGACGAAAGACCTGAGTATCATATGCTTCCAGGCTAAGCGATACTGTGAGGAAAGCAAGGTTATCCTGAAACCATTCTGCTTGCTTTCGGAATACAGGGCTCCCCAAGGGGGACCTCGCCCCTTCGTCCAGGCTCCTCCCCACTGCTGGGGCCTGGACACTCCACACCGCACTCTGACCCCCAGCGTCAGCTGTCCCGATGCCAGTCCAGTTCCGACACCCTCTGCCTGGGGTCGGCCCCATCACCTGTGCTTGTGACCGACCACTCTGGATCAGGACGCCCACGACTCTCCTCGGGCCCAGCCACCTTCTAGAACAGCTCACAGGGCTTCGGAAAGCACTTACTTACATTTACCGATTTATTATGTAACAAACGATAGGGCAAAGAACACAGCCAGAGACAAATCAGGTGAGGTCCAGAAGAGTCCTGAGCTCAGGCAGGTGCCACCTTCCCAGCACAGAGATGCTACCGACCTGTACTTTGGGGATTTTCATGGAGGTTCATCCCATTAACTCCATCTCTGGCCCCTTCCTGCCCCCTGGAACATGTGGGGTGGCACAGAAGGTTCCAAGCTTCTAACCGTGGCTTGGCCTTCCCGGTGACTGGCCCCTGTCCAGGAGCTATGAGAAACCCACCCAGAGTCACCTCCTCAAAACAAGACGTTTTTATCACCCAGGAAATTACAAGGATTCTAAGAGCTATATCAGGAACAACATACAAGTTTTCTAGGATTTCACAGCCTGATCCTGTTGAGGAACATCAGCACACGGTGTGTTCTGGGCGGACAGAGCCGGCCCGTGGCCCACTCAGGCCCCAAAGCAGGGAACGTGCTGTGGAGATGCTCCTTCCCTCCCCTGCTTGGAAACAGGGGAGTCCAAACCCAGATTCCTCAAACCCAGGACCACGTCTACACACAATGAGACCCCAGGTGCTTCTCAGGCGTGCCCAGTGCATGGATGTGGTGGTCAGTGCAGCAGGAGTGAGTCTGAGGATGCACCAGAAGCTCGTGGTTTTTGTGCCGAACCTCCACTTACACAGACACTGTTCACGGTGCAAAGGAAGTAGCAGGGGACGCACGTGGTGCACAAGTCAAGATATGGGGTTTGACGTCGATCCTTACAAACAACGAGACTTGGGAGTGAGGGGTGATCTCCTCGTCCAGACCTGGTGCCCTGGGGTGGCCGGTGACACTACCGCCCCCCGCCTGGCCCTCCCAGAGGGGCCGCTGCAGCAGGAAAGCTCAGGTGGGCAGCTGCCAGGCTGGCCGTGCCCCTGAGCCGCCACCAACCCGGTCCATGCGGGGCCCCAGAGATCAGAGCAGGCCCACAAGAGAGTGCTGGCCTGCTGGCCTTTTATTCTAATGGAGATGAACTCACAGGAGCGTAAGCTTTCCGAAGTGAAGGGCTCCGTGGCACTCAGCATGGCCATGAGATTGTGTGACCATCAGCTCCGCACAGTTCACACGTCCATCCCCCCCCAGGAGTTCGCCCGTGGCCCTGGCCCCCACTCTGCACCCTAGCAGGCCGACTTCTTAAATTGCAAAATAATTTAAGAAAAACAAAACATAAAAGATGCCTTCACCAGACCCCGTGTGCAGGCGTGGGCACACTGTTCTGGCACTGTCCCCCAAGGGGTCCGGGTTTTCCATCCTGCATGTTGCCTTCCTGGGTACAATCCCCCCAACCGGCTCCATTCAGCCAGCCCCTCAGAGAGGCCAAGCCAGTGGCCCTCTGACCACCACCTAAGCCCACGACTGCCACGGCCCCTGGGAGCCACCAAGAGGAGAGAGGAAGGGCTTCCTGCCGTGCCCAGCGCCGGCTGGGCTACGGGCCAGCTGGTGGTCTGGAACACTCCCCAACTCGGTCCGCCAGGGGACACTTGGCTGGGCGTGAAGGGGACAGTCAGTGGCATGAGGACTGGGCCCCGCCAGGGCTGCACAGTGAGGGGAACCTGTGTGCTGTGGGCACGGGGACATGAGCCAGGATCACGCTGGACACCCCGGTGCTTCGGAGCCAGTACTGCAGGGACAGAGCAGGCGCATGACCGTTCTGGGCTCTGGGCTCAGACACGTATGCAGAGGCCACTGTGTGCCGACCCACGTGGAGCGCAACCACGGCCAGGCCACCTCTGACGCAGGACACAGGGACGAGCAGAACAGACTGTGACCGGGTGTCTCACCGGCTGGGCTCCTCGCAAGTAAATTCCACTCAGGTTTTTCTCACCTTTCCTGTGTGTGTGTGTGTGTGTGTGTGTGTGTTTTTTTTTTTTAAAGCACCAAATGGGAAGGTGGGTGGGGAAATGCCCATGTGCTTCCCATTTCCTCGAATGTGGGCACTTTCCCGGCCACCCTAACACTGAGCCGCCTCCGTCCTGCCGCAGGGGTGGCTCTCGCCCTCTTGCAAGCATCCAGCGGGAGCAGACGGAAGGAGCCCACTGCAAAGCCAGCGGGACGGGCGGGCACCAGGTTGGAGCCCCCTCCCCACAGACACGAGGGCCCCGATGTGAGTGCCCCAAACCTCTCTGTGCCCGAAGCAAACCTGCAGCGCTGGGGGCCGCCGTCCTGGCCGCTATCAAGGGACCAACCCTGCCAGGACACCTCCCCTCCTGCCACGGCTGTCTACCCATGAGGAGCCCCACCCAAACTTGGGGCCCCATCTTGACGCTTAGCCCGACACCACTGTCCTGCGTGGCCGAAGCGTGCGTGTCTGGAGAAGCTGGGTCAGCCCGCCCAGGCCAGAAGCCCGCCACGGACTTCTAGAAAGAGCCGCCAACCCCACAGGCAGACCACCTCCGTCCGTGTCCCTAAGTGCTCATGCCTCAGGTGCTGTCCACTTACGTGTGCGGGCTGGCCGCTGCTGGCCGTGGAGCTGCTGGTGGGGGTGGGGGCCAGGTCTCGGCAGCCCCAGCCATTGGCCATCCCAAGGCTCTCTGTCAAGAAAGGGAGGCAGAGGGCTTTGAATGACCGCGGGCTGGAAACAGAGCTGTATGCAGGGTGACCCGGTCCCGGGAGCCCCCATGCGATGGAGGGAGGGAGGCCTGGCGACAACAGTCTTCCGAAGCGACGGGAGGGAGGAGGGGGCAGCGGCAGTGCCACGACAAAGACAGGAAATTGCAACAAGACTAGCCAACCTCTCCGTTAAAATGAAAAGCAGAAGGGGAAGCTGGAGTTTGCGACTGTCATCACTGAGCCAGAAGCCTGGGCCCCGCAGGGCAGGGCGGCCTTTGACTGGGGCGGGGGGCTGGCCTGACGTGCCCTGGAAGGCATGCCAGGGGCTGCCGGCTCCCCTCCTGCTGCAGACAACCGGCAGGCATCGGGCACTCACTGTCCACGTGTGCGAAAGCGCAGAAGGGACCCCGCGGGCAGTAACCGGTTTGGCGCATGTCGTTGCACTTGGTGGACTTGTAGATCTAAGAAACGAAAAGTAAAACAATAAAATCGATACAGTTTAAAAATGAAACAGAGGCGCCTGGGTGGCTCGTTGGTAAAGCGTCCGACTCTGGGTTTCGGCTCAGGTCATGATCTGAGAGTCGGGCTCCCCGCTCGACGGCTGGGAACGGGTTTCTGCAGGAAGCCAGGAGCTACTGCGTCACAGTGCAGAGGGCCCTACTCCAAATCTCAGTGGGGTTTCCTGAGAAGGGGGTGGGCACGCGGCCTGTGCCTCACACACCGTAGTCCACAATCCCCTGCCTTCCACAGAGCAGGTTGCACTGTCCTTGAAATCACACGGAGTCAACTGACCACTTGGCGTTTCCTGAAAAGGCACCCAATTCAGGGCTCGGTATACAGCAGGCACTCAAGCAATGCCCCTGACACAAGTACATGTGTGAGCTCCACAGCCAGCCCTGATCCACTACACTTGGGTCAAAAATACTCTCATGGTGCCAATGACACTTGGTTCTGGCCGCCAGCTCACCAGGACCCTCAAGGAACAGACCCCAGGCCCCTCCGCACCCCTGCCAGATCCCAATCGACACCCTCGGAAGGCTTCCCAGGCCTCCCGCCTCCCTTCCCCCACAAATGCCACTCCCCCGGGCTCTTCGCCCTCCTTCACTGGGGCTGCAAGGACCCCGGTCCAGGAGCAGCCCTCAGCCAGAAAAGGACGAGTCTCGCTCCTGATGGGCCAGCACAGGCCACAGAGCAACCCTCTGCCCAGGCCCATCACCTGGCCTGGGCACTGACAGGTCCCCATTTCATGCTTTCCGACTTGACTGCTCCACCCCTGCCCCCTGCTCTCCCCACACGGCCCCCCTCCTGCAAGCAAGCTTGGTTCACAGGGATCGGCACATCCCACCCTCCCTGCCTGCCCTCCTGGCAGGAAGCCTGGCCCTGGTCCCCACACTGTCCCACCCCCAGAGGGGGGCTGATTTGCTGGCATTCTACTTGTTTTTTAAAAAGTTATTTGACAGAGAGAGCACAAGCAAGGGATTGGGGCAGAGGGAGAAGCAGACTCCCCACTGAGCAGTGAGCCTGATGCGGGGCTCGATTCCAGGACCCTGGGATCATGACCTGAGCCAAAGGCAGACGCCTAACTGACTGAGCCACCCAGGCACCTGGTTTTGTTTGTTTTTTAAAGATTTATTTATTTATTTGTTTATTTAAGAGATAGAGTGAGCACGGAAGCAGGAGAAGAGGTAGAGAGGATCTCAAGCAGACTCCCTGCTAAGCGCAGACCCCCAAGGCAGGATTTGATCTCACAACCCTGAGATCAAGAGCCAAGCTGAAATCAAGAGCTGGACACTCAGCTGACCAAGTCACCCAGGCGCCCCTGCTGGTTTGTTTTTAACACAAATCTAAGTGTGCGCTGCTTAGCTCAGCTTCAGCTGACCATACCCCGCACATTCCCAAGGACTGGCCTTCACTGGCTCCTGGGGGGTGGGGGGCGACCTCTGAGCCCCTGGAAAGTCCTGCCCGGGAAGTGTCTCCGTTTACCTGGTCATGGGCCACATGAGACAGTAACAACATGACTTATGGTGGCGGCTCTGGGCCATGCAGTGTCAGCTCAGCCACTGGAGGGCTAGAGACCAAGGTCAGCCATGTACACATGACCCCTGATAAAAACCCTAGACACTAAGGGCCAGGGGGGCTTCCCTGGTTGGTGACACATCACTGCTGGAAGAAGTGGGCGCTGTCCACATGACCCACTGGAGGACACAGCTGGGCATCGGTGCCTGTCTCCCAGGGATCCCGCCCCCCTCGGGACCCCGCCCTCGGCCGATTTCGGCCTGCATCCCGTAACAACCCTAACTGTGGACACCACAGCACTGCTGAGCTCTGTGGGTCCTTCTATCAAGTCACGGACCTGTGGGTGGTCCCCGGGGAGCCCAGACACAGGAGACCCACGCTCGCACAGGCTGGGAGGGGGGCTGTGGCTCCCGTGGCTGACAGGCTCCTACCTCGGGGTGGAACTGCTGCTCCGCGCGGGAATGGCAGTACTGACAGCTGTCCCCGCTGTCACACCTTGCAGGCTCGCCCCACTCGTCACCGTGCTTCACGCTGGGACACGGGGTGGACCTGGGGGGACGGGGCGGGGTCACCAAGAACACAGAGCAGGCGTCCTTCCTGCATGCCTGGGGCTGCCCGTCTGTCCAGCTGTCACGGGGCTCCCCTCGCAAGCAGGATGGCGCGCGCGGCCCCGGACGCACACCTCTTTCCTTACCAGGACACGCAAAAGCAGGCTGAGCACCACCTAAACCCAGACAGGGACTCAGGAGGCCTATTTTTATTTTCCACAAAACATAAAGTAAATCTGAGTCAGAGCCCCCCATGCTGACATGTGGAGCATGTCGGGGAAGCAGCTGGGGAGATGGGAGGCCGGGCCCAGCCTCGCACGCTGCACACTCCCTCAAATCTGAGATGTTTGATCCTACAGTGTGAAAACCCAACCCAAATCCTCTTTCTTCGTGGACTTACTGGCAGTGTTATTCTCATTTCTTTGGATTTACGGAAAAAATTAACAGCAGGAGGAAATAAGATTTTACTATTATCTAGCACGTCTTCTAACCCTTCAATACACGGTAAATTTGTCTTATCTTCTCCACCTGACCTCCGGTGAATAACACCTGGAGGCTATGAATGTGCAGCTCCCTGCCCCTCAGCCCTGAAACAACACGGAGAGAGGACCCTGGCTGTCGCGGACCAGCTCGCCACAAGCGCGGGCGCTCTCGGGCACATGAGGCAGCATCGAATCCATGCAAGACGACGGCAGGGCTCAGGCTGGGACGGGCCCGGCGCCCCAGGGGCTCACCTGTACTGGAACCTCCTGGGGTTTCGCCGTCGGTCCCGGCTGTTGTGGTAGTGCGGACACGCATAGCCCTGGCGACACAGGCGCGGGGGCTTTGGGCACTGCTCCGTCTTGTAGCTGCCCAGCACGAAGTTAGTGTCTGAAAAACAGGGGTACATGTGGGAACGTGTACACATGCTCACATGGCCAGAGCGAGAAGCATCCCCAGTATCCGTAGACGGATAACACTGTGTCTGCCCCACGGCCACGCACACCTGCTACAAACCAGATGAACTCAAGAACCTGCTGATCGGGGACAGGCCAGACACAGGAGTCTAGCGACCGTGTGATTCCACCACAGGAAAGGTGTGCGCGGCAGATCCACAGACAGAAAGGACAAAGTGCAGCGGGGGAGAGGGTGGGGCTGACCGTGGGGGCCAGAGTCTCAAACTAGCTCCCAAGAGGGCTGCATGACCCCAAACATACTGAAAACCCCTGAAACGGACACTTTAATCCTGATGTAAACAATGGACGTTGGGTGGTAAGGGCATGCAGTCCTTGCCGGCTCGCAGGTGGGGACACATGGCCCACAGCGGCGGGAAAGGAGAGCACGTGGAGTCACAGGGTATGTGGGAACCCTCCGTACTTTCCCATCAGTGGAACCTAAAACTACCCCCAAAATAGGTCTGTTTTTTAAATGATTAATTTCATGCTCTTTGAACTTTATCTCAAAGCAAAAACAAGCCAAAAAACCACTGGGGTCATTTAAAAGCAGAAACCAATGAGAGGATATTCCTAAAAATCATACCACTCTTGGGCTGGTTAATAACGGACAGTGCTGAGCTCCACGCTGAGGGACAGAGAGCAGCAGTGGGAGGGACAGCCCAGCCCAAGAGCCCAGAGCCACGCCACATGGCCCTTAAGAAACGTCTCCAAGTCCAGCCGCACCAAATTCAATTTCAAATACATCATCAAAAAACAAGAAAGGTAAACCACATAGGAGGGTGTGGAGAGAACAAAAGGGGTTTAAGGAACAAAAAGGCCGACTTTAAGAAGATAAAAATTATAGAATATTGATTCCCAAGTATTGACCGCTTGCCCGGTAGACACAAAATCCTACCAAGTGCCATGAAACAGGCAGAAATGAGCTGTTCACAGCAACCAGGAGACACAGGCTCCTCGATGCCTTCAAAGCTGCAAAGTAAACATGAAGGCCAGGCATCCAGAAAGTCTCCTGCGAGCACGCAGTCCCAGCTCCTGGGGCGGTGAGGACGTGGTGTGCACACACCCAGGCGTGCAAACATACACCCGAAGCACACACAACCCACACTCACGGCAGAAGGCAACCAAAACACAGCCTATGACCCCAAAGTCCTTCAGGAGGCGACGGACAAAGGAACGGTGGTCCATCCCAACAGTGGGCTGTAAGTGAGGAGAAGACATGTGCTAGCAAGCCAGGACGATGCGGCTCTAGAGGAAAGAAGCCCGTCTGAAAATCTACATCCTGGATGATTCCAACTACATGACATTCTGGAAAAGGAAAAGCCATGGAACAGAACGATGGCGTAAAGGGCCAGGGGTCACCAGGGGCTGGGGCAGTGGCACCAGCCTGTAGGACCCTGTAGGGTAGGGCAGACACAAGACTGACTTGTCCAAGCCCACCCCCCACCCCAGGCCACCGGGAGCCCTGAGGGAAACTGTGCTCAGTACTTAGTGATAAAGTATCCATCTTGGTTCCTTGATTGTAACAAACATATCAGGTCAGTGCAGGTGTTTATAACATGGAAAGGGGGGGGGGAACGTGGGAACTCGGTACTATCTGCAACTTTTCCGTAAATCTAGAGAGCCCCCAAAATAAAATCTACTAATGAAAAAGCCAAACCCCACCTCAGCCCAGCTCTGGGATAGGAAGCCCAGGAAGGAACTGTGCCCGCGACGCAATTTTCTCCCTGGTGGCAGCCAGTGGCTGACCTCACCAAGGAGACGCTGGGGTAAAGGTCAGAGCAGCCTTGGGGACCAGACGTGTGGGTTCAGATCCCACTTGGCGGCCGCTACCTGAGGGACTGGGGGTAATGTACGCAACTGGAGACTCAGTTTCCCCATCTGGTCTCTGAATGAAGGGGGTGACGTCCACTCTGTGGTCATTTTGCAGAGACGAATGCCCCCTGCCCCCCTCCGTGGCGGCCTCGGGGTTACCTTGCCACCGGGGGTCCTCACCCAGGATCTTCTCAATCATGGCCTGGCTGGCCAAGACCCCGGGCTGCAGGTCAGGGATGCCATCCACACCACAGAGCTGGCCGTTCTGCAAGGCTTCCTGGGCCTGGAGCTCCCTACGATCAAACCACACAGTGGTCACCACTCTGCCGCGTGTCTGCCTCCGCCCTTCGGGAAGGGGAGACAATCGTTTGCTTCCGTCACTCTGTGCAGCCACCTAGAAGGTTATGCACGGGCAGCCCTCGGGCACAACCCTAAATCCAACACCGTCAGAGCTGAGTTGTGTGTTTAGCGAGGATCTGGCCACCTCCCTCGAGCTCAGCCCCGTGAGCTCCCACGACCACACGCGTCAGAAGGAAGGAAACCATCTCGTCAGGAATGAAGTCAAGGCCGGGAGAAAGCGCTGCTGTGCTTGGCAGCGCCCACGGCACCAGGAGGGGAGTGCAGACACCCCACGCACCTGATGTCGCACACGGGTGGCCTCAGGTCCAGCGGGCCGTGAGCAAAAGCGCAGTGCAGCCCGTTCTTCACGCAGTGGCCCCGGGCATCCGTCTCATGAATGCACGTGCCCGTCTTGTAGTAACGCAGGTGGTACTTGCGCTCAGTGTCCCCAGTCGTCCGGTGCAGGTACGGACACCTGGGAAGGAGAGGGGCCGACACGGGCCATCTGAGGCCTTGGGGCTGGAGGAACCCTCAGCATCGACCTGCCCCAGCCCACAAACAACTGCTCTCACCACAGGACTGCCACCTCTGGCAGAGCACCTGTCCCCAGGGCACTCAGATCCCCACAAATCTCTCAATACATTGTGGTAGAAAATAAAATACCCAATTTCCCTGAAAATCACCCTGCATCATGTTGTAAATATGGACGAATGAGGCTCCCCCCTGGATAAAGCTGTGCCTTCACTGTTCCTGACAAGTGTTATCAGATGAGGGGCTGATGGTCACTCCCGTCCCACCCAGGGACTTCTGGGGACCCCTCAAGGGAAGGAGGGGCCTGGACCTGGCTAGAGGGGGACGGCAGTGGGACAAGAGAGAAGCAGATACAGGGGGATGGGCAGGGTCATGTGCAGGTGCCAAGCCACTCACTCCTAGGGGAGTCCACGCAGCTCCCCAGGCAGCGAAGGGCTCACGCTGCAGGGGGGTGGCCAGCACACGTGGAGATGGTCCCCGAGCCTACCTCAAGGTCGGTCAGTCCCTCTAGACAAGAGCCACAGACAGAGAAGAGCAAGGAAAAGGAGTCTGAGCCAGCCATGTCCCTGAGCCACCCAAGGAGTGAGGTGGGAGCCTGTCACTGCCCGTCCCCTCCAGCAACGGCCGGGGAGCACCACATGAGGCTTGGGTAAGGCCCAGTCCCACCTCACTGCCCTATGAGGTTCCCCACACGGAGCACAGATGAGACCCAGAGAGAACGACTCGGGGGCCACTCACACTCAACCCCTATCTCCTACGATAAGGACATGCAGGTTCGACCTTGGCAGAGAGCACCCCAGACCTTTTGGGGCACCTGGGGTGTGCACAGCACAAGGAGACAAACAGGACGCCATGCCCACGAGGCCGGGTCCTTCAGAACCAACCAAGCAACCACCAAAGAAGCCAGCGGGCGGGCCGGGCAGTTCTGCTCCCGAGGTGCACCCAGAAACGCCGGAAGCACGGGATTCACGACAGCCTCGGCCTCAAACAACCCCGATGCCTATCAACTGATGAGTGGGGAAGCAAAGGGGGGCCCATCCAGACAACAGGATGTTACTCAGCCTTAGAAAGGAAGAACATTCTGACACGTTTTACAACATGTACACCTCGAGGACATTCTGCTCAGTGACAGAAGCCGGACACGAAAGGATGAAGTCTCCAGGCAGTCCTAGGAAGTCAAAGAACAACAGGGGATGGGAGCATGGGCAGAGCAGCTCGGGGACCCCCGGGGACTGAGTGCAGAATGGGCACATCTCCCGTGTGCACAGCTGGAAAGAATCTGGAAGCAGACAGTGGGGATGGGTGCACAACATGGTAAAAGTCGTCACTGCCGCTACCCTGCACAAGGAAACACAGTTAAAATGACACATTTCACGTCATATGTGTGTAACTGTAATTGTCGACAAAGCCCACTGCGACCAGAGAAGAGAGAGAGGAGAGAGATTTGATCTCTCCCTACAGGAAAGTGCACTCGTGCAGCGTTTTCACACCTCGACACCACCATGTCCCGGCACTGGTCTGTGACTCAGTTTTGGGCAGCCAGGTGGCCAAGGCTGTCACAGAGAGCTCAGCCACGCTGGACAGCCTGGGGGAGAACACGGGGCCCCGCCCCTGCTTTTCACGTGACCGAACACCACTTGCAAAGGGCACCAACCACGCTCCCTGGAGGTGCCCGCCTGACCTCCCATCCTGATGTCTCGATGTCACATCTCAGCCCTCGCTCACTTCCTAGCGGTCCCTCGGGGGAGTGCTAAGCACCCTCTGGTTTCCTCTCTGGTGTTGTTGCCAAGGCAACCAGAGCCCAGCCCAGTCCCCCTGCCTGGCCCTGAGCATGGAGCACCTACCACGGAGCACTGACCACAAGCAACGAGTACCGAACACAACCACGGAGCATGGAGCACCGAGCATGACCACCGAGCACAACCACTGAGCATCGAGCACCAAGCACAGAGCAGGCACTATGATTTCACTCAGGGCATGACCTCAAGACACTGGAGGGCTCTTAACAGAGAAAAACGGCTCCACCTTTGGAAGGTCTGAGAGGGGAAGGGAGGCCTCAGACAGAACACAGCGGGAAAGCCAGAACTCTCCCTGGGGCAAGAAAGAACCAGGGCTCAGCCCAACACTGCATGCAGATTCTTCCTCGTAGAAGCCCGCCACACCCACGATGTACCCAGGTGTGACTAGGTTCTGCCGAGCACCAGATTCAGGTAAGCCCCTTGGTTCTCAAGCCATCCGCCATGATTAGTGACCAAACAATGCAATTCAACCAGGGTTCCATCACGGGTGTGATGCAGCAGCACATGCAGGACACCCGCACAACCCCAACACGCTAGAACCCAGGAGCCAGGAAGGGGGGAGCAGGAGGAACAGACCGGGGGCTCAAGACTGCCCTTACCTCTCCAGGAGAGCCTAAAGTTGACCCCTCCCTCTGGCAGCCCTCACCACGATGGATCTGCAAAGGGGACAGAGGTGGCCCACCAAAGCCCAGCCCCACTGCGCGCCAGCACCGGCCAGGAGCACACTGGGGTGTGCGTCAGAAGCCCCGGAAGGGTTGGCCAGTCCCAGAGGTCTGATGCTGCCATCCAGGTGGGAGCCTCAGATCCCACCTGCAGGAGGACCCCAGGTGACGTCGATGCTGCTGGGCTTTAGGGAACGCTCAAGTGCAACCTGACTCCCTGCCCGCGCCTAAGGGGCTCAGACGTGGGGGGAGACCCGAACACAGCACACAAATAACTGAGGTGCAAAATGCACAAGCTGAGTAACCGGATGCAGCCACGGAACATGGGTGACAACAAACATGAACAAAGGGAGGACCCGTGGGCCACAGACAAGTGGGGGCAGGGAGGTGGGGGGTGGGCAGGTGGGGCTTCCGGGAAGAAGGTCAACTGTCATCGCACATGCGCCCCTCCTCTTGGATGCTAGGGGAGGGGGGCTGCCAGCTAACCCGCTGACCACGTCCATCCCCTCAACTCTGCACCCCCAGTCTCTGGACCTTGGAGCCAGGACAGTGACCCCTCATTAGTCCCTAACAGGGATCATCAGTACCAGCAACAGGTGTCACTCCTCCCTCTGCACCGCAAAGCTGACTCCCCGTCTGGAAGACACAAGGTTCCGCCGGCCTGCGTGGGACCTCCCTGTGCCAGGGGCCTCCTGGTCGCCTCCTCCATCCCTGCACCTTCGCTCTTCGGGGCTCTCCCAGGCCAACCCAGTCACCTGATGTAATCCGCTCAAGCTGGCTAATGTGTCCCCTAAAAGCCTGTGTCTTCCAGACCGTAAGTAGCCCCCTGGCTACAGGCTATTTGGCTCTAATGTTTAGGACCTGCCCTTGGCTTTCACCCCACCCCAAGTGCCCAAGCAGAGTTCCCTGGTGAGACCAGCTTGGAGGAAACTTACAGCTACCCCGCAGGGAGATGCACCGAAAGCTGAGGCCGGAGACACTCGGGTCTTGGCGGAAAGACCAGACAGAAGACAGGTGTGGTGCAGCAGACACTGAGGACAGCCGCTCTGGGCCAGCAAGCTCCCACAGCACACCGGGACGGTCAGGGGAAAGCCCATGGAATCACACACCAACAGCCCACCTGGCCCAGGGCCTGTGTCCCCAACAGACTCCAAAGGCAGTGAGGAGGAGGAGGATGTGGGGGGAAGAGCCTGGCCTGCCAGGGGAGCCCTGAAGATATAAGGCCACAGGAACGGGTCGGGCCCATCTCTTCTTCAGCGAAAAAATCTGTAACTGGGGGTCGGGAGGGCCACTCGCCAGAGCAGGAGGCGGATCAGCGGAGGAGACTGGTTACTTTGTACTCGACATAGTTGGGGGCTGCTTGATTGTTTTCCCAATGAAAATGTTCTCCAGGAAAGGCCCTGCAGACCCCTGGAAGCCCGCCTCTGCGAACGCACCTGATCATTCCCAGGAGCGCGTACGTGCTCTCGGGCAGTGGGAGGGGCCCACCACACGCGGGTTCCAGGTGCGAACACTCACACCAGCCCCGCGGTCGGCGACCTGGCGAGTGCGGGGCGGAGGGGGTGGAGCAGGGCCCGCGGGGGGTCTGGGGCTGTCCACACCCAATGCCTCTCTCAGACCAGCTTTCGGGATGGGGCCGGACCACGAAAACCCTCCGGACAGGAGTCGCTTTCCTTGAAGCCCAGCCTGAGAAGTACCTGAGATGGATCCTCACAAGTGGGAACACCGACTTGGTGGAGTTGGACCAGACCCTAGGCTCGGAAGCGGCTTCCTGCACCGCCTGCCCTCTCCGTGGACTTCCAAACGCGCACCCCGCGCAGCTGACCCCGCCGCGCTACTGGAGGACGTGACCCGCACGGCCAATCGCGGCCGGCTCCGGGGAAGGGGCGTGTCCGCCAGAGCGGACCGCCCCCAGAGAGCAAGGACCGCGGGCCGCCAGAGCAGACTCTCCCCCCGCCAAAGGGGGGGGCCCGCCCGCCGAGAAAAGGGGGTCATAGCAGGGGTGCCCCTGGGGAGGGGGAGATGACAGCGGGAGGTCTACCCAGAGGGGACACAGGGAGCACCACGGGGCCAAGGGGGGCCCGGAGGGAAGGGGTGATGGTGAGAGGTAAAGGGTGACCACCCGCCAAGTAAAAGGGGTGTCGGTGGGGGAGGGGGGCCACAGGAGGAGGGGTGACAGCGAGGGGAGAAGGTGACCGCCAGCCTAGGAAGGGCCGTGGCAGCAGGGGTGCCATCCCTCCGGGGTTCTCTGGTCCTGTCCTGCCCCACAGCTCAGCCACAAGGCGCCCCCAGCCAGGGCCAAGAACAGTGCTGGATGCTTGTGTCACCCGACAAGCCCTGAAGGGTTTTTGCTCTCTTGTAGTGTTCATTCTTTTATAAATAACAGGTTGGTAGTACATATGCCCCAACCAGAACTCTCAAGAACCCAAGAACTGAAATAAAAGGGAAGTTCTGTCCTTGCTCTGAAAGGGACTATCTACTTAAAAATTCCATGACAGGGGCGCCTGGGTGGCTCAGTCGTTAAGTGTCTGCCTTCGGCTCAGGTCATGATCTCAGGGTCCTGGGATGGAGACCCACATCGGGCTCCTGGCTCTACGGGAAGCCTGCTTCTCCCTCTCCCACTCCCCGTTTGTGTTCCCTCACTGTGTCTCTCTCTGTCAGAAAATAAATAAAAAATCTAAAAAAAAAAAAAATTCCATGACGATGCAGCATAAACCAGACTATGTAGTCCCATGGGACAAACTCTGGGCCGTTCCACTTGTGGGGGATGAGAAAGCCCCTCTCCCATGGAGTGCAGCAGGACTAAGGAGAGATCCCCAGGGGAGACATCTCCCCACCAAACACTTCCTAAAGGGCTGAAGCTTAAGACAAGGGACAAATCTTTACTCAGACATGTGACTTTCTCACTGTATGCAGGGTCACAGGATGTACCCACAACAGGAAAGGGCCAACAGGCAGCTCACTCCCACTCATCCTGGTTCTCAATGATGACCTCTGTCATTTAGATTACACATTAATATTCCTGTAATCAATAACTGTGTGCTATTTAATTACTGAGCCCGACTGAAATGACCACGTGCAGGTAGGTGTCCACTGCCGATGCTTCATCCTGCAAGAACTGGTTGCCATCCTAACGCCCAGCAAAGGGACTGAGTCAATACCAGGACATGCAGACTCCAGAACCCCAAAGAGCTGTGCAAACAGGCTTTGTCCACATGCATTAAGAGCATCAGTCGGGGCACCTGGGTGGCTCAGTCGTTAAGCGTCCGCCTTCGGCTCAGGTCATGATCCCAGGGTCCTGGGATCGAGCCCTGCATCAGGCTCCCTGCTCCGCGGGAGGCCTGCTTCTCCCTCTCCCACTCCCCCTGCTTGTGTTCCTGCTCTTGCTATCTCTCTCTCTCTGTCAAATAAATAAATAAAATCTAAAAAAAAAAAAAAAAAGAGCATTAGTGAATACTGCCAGTTGGTCCTTTGTACTGACTGGGCTCTAGGACGGAGTCAAACATGCTGGGTGACTGGATCCCTGCACCAGGGTCAAGCAGCAGTGCTCCCCCCACCCCGGGGTAACTCAGGAGCCAAGGCCCAGGGGGGTGACTGACGTGGCCAAAGAAAACGGGGGACCTGATGCCAGGCCTCAGCTAACAAACACATCCCTCCTGAAGACCCGCTTACAGAAAACATCAGCTCAAGAAGCAACTAAATAGGGGCACCTGGGTGGCTCAGTTGTTAGGCATCTGCCTTCAGCTCAGGTCATGGTCCCAGGGTCCTGGGATCGAGCCCCTCACAGGGCTCCCTGCTCAGTGTGGAGCCTGCTTCTCCCTCTCCCTCTGCTCCTCCCCCAATCTTAAAAAAAAAAAAAAAACTACAGGAGCATAACTCCATCTTAAAGGAGGAGGAGCTGGGCACATTTCTTCAGCAGGCTTCAAGCTGCCTTAACAACAACCCTATTTAACTATCTGATGTTCCAACTACACTTTCAGTAAGTGTGTAAGTGTATGAAGTTTATGATAACGCATGGATGAAAAGTTTACTCCCTGGCCTGAGCATCTTTAGGAAATGAAAGACAGCAGACATCACTCCACTCTCCGTGCAACAGAGTGAATGTGGTCTTCCAAAGGGAGCATTCCTGGAGACCCAGCTCCTTTCAAAGGATCAGGGGATGGAGCCTGAAGGACCTCCCTCAAATCAGCACTGGATCTGAACAGAAGAGGAGCAAGCAGCAGTTTTTGGAGGCCCTGGAGCTCAGGGAGGCTACCCCACTTCCAGGCAGACATGGATCAGCCCTCCTCCTGCCTCAAAGGGTCCAGGAGAAAAGTGCAAAACCTCCGGCTACGAACTTCTGCCCACTCTGTGAACACACACTCTGTGCTTGCCTGTTTCCCAGTCTACATATTGCTAAATAAATACATCTGTTCATAACACCATGAAGAAACTTGTAAGAAAAAATACAACCAAAACAAAACCTTAGTTTCTTAAACTTTAAGAGTGCTACAGAAAAAGCAGTCTACAAATAAGATAACTTCCCTATCAATTTTTTAAAGAGAAGTTAGATAAGCCACAAGAAAGGAAACGTTCCAGATATGATTTACACAGTGTGAGCAAGCATTCTAGCACACTCTCTGACCCACAGCTACAGAGTGGCCCTACACTTAACAGGTGCACCTTATGAGGGTTGGTTCTAATGCAGAGAAGGCAGGGAACTGGGTCCAACGTGGGCAGGCCAGCGGGTTTGCACCATGCACGGGGCGTCCCTGAGACACTGCCCTCAAGGCGGAGAAAAGCCTGCCCCCGACCGGCGGCCGCGGGAAGGCTTCCGAGGGAAGACGGGACCCGCCCGGCCCCAACACACACTCACTCGTCGCCGTCGGGGCACACGCCGCTGGCCTCGTCGTACTTGGAGCAGTACACGTCCGGGCTGTAGTTGAAGGTGCCGTCCCGCCTGCGGAGCGGTCTGCGCCGACGCTGATTTAGGAAATGCCAATGGAAACAGGTAAATGGCCTGTGCTGGGCGCACTTGTGCTGCACAAACAGGGCGCACTGCTCTGTCCTAAACTCCTTTAGATACCTAAAAAGACAAACAGCGTTGCGGGTCGCTTCCGCCGCCACCGCCGCCGGCGGGCGGCCTCGGGGACTCGTGGGCGGGGACCGGACCCCGCAAGCCAAGGTGCCCCAAACTCAGAGGCAGTCCCCACTCTAAAGGGCAGATGACCCCAAACGGCCGCCCCCCATCCCCAGAGCGTCCCTCGGATCCCAGGCACAGTCCCCGACCCCAAGCGCAGGCAACCATCTCCGATCCGAGGTGCGACGCCCCCCCCCCCCCCCCCGAGTCCAGCCGGCCGCCGCCCCCCCCCCCCAGCCCGGGAACGATTCCGGACCTCGTCCGCAGCACCCCCCATCCCGGCCACTGACGTGACCTCCAAGTTCAGGCGCGACACAGCGACCCCAGGCGCGTACTGACCTAGGGCAGAGGCAGCCCGAGTCCAGATGGCCGCCCTCCCTCCGAGCCCAGGCGCGTTGGTCCATCCCGACCCGAGGTGCGACGCCCGACCCCAAGCGGGACCACCCACTCCAAGTGCAGACGGCCGTCCCCCCACCCCCCCCAGCCCGGATGCGATTCCCCGGGCCCGGTCCGCAGCATCCCCCATCTCGGCCACTGATGCGACCCCCAACTTCAGGAGCGACACAGCGACCCCAGGCACGCCCCGACCCCCAAGCTCTGGCGCCATCCCTGATCCCAGGCGGAGGCACCCCGGGTGCAGATGGCCGCCCGCCCCCCGACCCCAGGCGCATTCTCCGCAAAACCCCGACCCCCCACTGGAGGCGCGTGGACCCCCGCCTCCTGCCGCGCTCCTCAGCCCCCGCCCCCAGGTGCCGCCCCAGACCCTGCGTGCCGCCTTTCGACCTCAAGCGGCGGCCGACGGCGTCGGACGGCGGTCACCCCGCCCGGAGCCCGGGCGCGGGGCGGGGGGCGGCGCGGGGCCCCAGGCCGCACCGGCGGCGGCACCCAGGCCCAGGGGCGCGGGGCGCGAGCCGGGGGGCGCACGAGGCCGCCCCCCGCCCCGCTCCCGTCCCCACCGCGACCGGCCCGGCCACTGACCTGTAGTGGGTCGGCTTCTCCGTCTGCGGGGGGGACCCGCTCAGCGCCGCCGCCGCCGCTTTCGAAACCGACGGCATTTTCAGTCAAAACAATGCAGCGCGCATGCGCCAGGCGGGCCCGCCCCCGCCCCTCCGGATCTCCCCCCGCGCCAAGCCCCCCGCGCCCCCGCCCGCCAGCCCCGCCCCCGCCCCGCCCCGCCCCGCCCCCACCGGCGCGCGGCTGACCCCAGACCCGCCTGGCGATCGAGTCCAGCGTCCGGCTTGGCAGGAACACGCCCCGAGGGCGCCGCCCCCGCCAACACGGGCTCCCCTCGTCCACGTTCATCCCAGCCGGCGCTCAGGCGGACTCCGGCCCACCCCTCAGCGCCCTGCGCGACCCGGAGCAGGTCCCCCGCGTGGAGACAGCAGGCTGGCTGCTCACACTCGCACTCCACTCATTCATCGACTCTAACCCCCGGGCTGGGTGCGGAGCTGCAAGGAATGGACTCAGTTGCTTAGGGGTGGGTGTGGGAGATGTGGGGGGCCATGCGCCACTGCTTATGGCTACCCAGCTTTAAGGAGTGCGAACAGGTCCCCAAATTAGATTGTGGTCATAGCTGCTCCAAGTGAATATATGAAAACATTATTTTCATTATATACTTTAAGTGGGTGAATCGAATAGCATGTGAATTTTGTATCAAGAACGCTGATTTTAAAAAATAACCCAAAAAGCTCACAGTCAAGGGGGAGTCACACGCCCCTCCCGTCACCAGCAGGGTGCGTGGGGACGCACAGGGGGTGGGGCACTCCCGGAAGCAAGCAGCAGCAGCAGCAGGGTCCTGCCCAGGTGACCCCGGAGGAAGGAGGGTGTGCACTTCAGGAGGGAGAACCTAGGCCCAGAGCACACTGTTTTGTAAATATATGGCATGAGACATTTTTTAAAATGTTCAACCTGGCTGGTAGTTAAAAATTTTCTTAAGCAAATTAAAATAAGGCAGAGCCCATGGAGTGGGCGGACATTTTCTGAACAGAAACCCACAACGCTGGTGACCTGCAGCAAGACAAGCCCTTGAAGAAGTGTGGCTGGGCAAGGACAAAAACAGTTAAATAATAAAAGGCTTTACATAACAGTTTACCTGTCCACCTGCTCTGCCCCTGCGCCTTTGAAAAGCCCAGGTCAGGAGCTGGCCTTGGTCTTCCGTTTGCTCATGACAAGGCCCACCCGTGTCTGGGGTGTGAAGTCCGGAACCAGAACACCCCTCGCTGGCGGCTGCCCTGGAGATACTCAGGATTTGTTCCCATGTGGTACACGATGTATCATCAAAAACAGTACTACCCACCCTTGTGTTTTGAAAAGCTGTGTATTTATATACACACAAAACATCTGGAAAGGTAAACAACAAAGTTTTCACAGTGGTTAGCTCTAGGTGTGAGATTTTTAATGTTTCTGATTCTCTTCCTTTTGCTTATTACAGTATCTAACTTTTCCAGATAAATCACATTGCTTCTGTCATATGAGAATTTTAATTAAAACAAAAATTCTTGGGGTGCCTGGGTGGCTCAGCTGGTTAAGTGTCTGTCTTCAGCTCAGGTTGTAATTCTGGGTCCTGGGATAGAGCCCAGCATCCGGCTCCCTGCTCCATGGGGAGCCTGCTTCTCCCTCTGCCTCTCCCACTCTCTCTCCCTCTGCCTCTCATGAATAAATAAATAAAATCTTAAAAAACAAACAAACAAAAAAACCCAAAAAGTCTTTTCATTAGGTCTGACTTTTTTTCCCCTGCAGGAACTAGGGAGAGAAAAGGAAGGGTTCAGGTTTGAATGACTTGCTCAAACAAAATAGTTCACAATGAAACAGATTAACAACCATGCCAGGTTAGGGAAAGGACGGCTTACTTCTTTGTTCCCGCTGGGATAACAATGCAGCCTGAGATACAATTAGGTCAGTCTTTCCAAATCTTGACCTGTGTTTAAATAATGAACATACTTGTATCGTTCCACTTCTATAACGAGCCTAATTTACCCAGGTGGGCGGGACACTGAGAGTACTCCGGCATAGAGACCCTTCCGGAAGCCAGTATGCTGGCAGGTAACCAGCAGCCTTCCAACACCTGAATGAAAGAGACCTCCAGGTAACTTTGGCACCACAGACATGCCAAGATAAAACCTTCCACTTAGAAGCATAAGTAAATAAAAACCTTCCTTTTGTGCATCTTGTATTTAATTCAGAATAAACAGTTTCTTACTAAGTGGTACTTGAAAAGCATATCATTTAGATACCCAAAAATACTGCCTGCAATTTGTCAAGAAAAAAAAAAAACAAAAAACTTAATCTTACTCTGCTCAGAAAATTGTCACCTTGCTAAAAATAAAAATTTGTAGAGCTGAGAAAGTTCATTATTTCTGGTATCCTTTGTAAATTCCACAATTTACATTTAGATTTCTTTCCTCAGTTCCTATTCTGGAAAAACAGAAAAAGGAACTGGAAAGGACTAAAAGTCCCCCCCCTCTTTTTAATGAAATGCAAAAAAGGGGAAGGGATTGGCTTAATTCCACGTTACCAAATTAAAATGTATTGCCAGTTTGTAAAACTAGTATCAATTTCTACGCACTACAGTACATTGCAAGTCAAAGTTTAAATTTTCTGGCAGTTATTCTGTCTCAGAAAGCAAATGACCTGCAAACAAGTGTCACCAGAATTGCTTTGGAAACATGATCACGTTGTAGAAAGACATATCAAAAATTCAACAGCACACAATGCAACCGAAACCTTTTCTGGGGATCTGAAAATGAAATGTCTTTTGGACGTATTCGTTGGGCATCAAGTGTTCGGAAAAGAGCCGGTTCCGACGTGACAACGTTCTGCTCTGCCTTCAACGCACGTCAGCGTGGCCAGGTGCGCCGAGTCCTTCACTCCGGGGACGCGCATAACCACGGCAGAAACGGCCAAACGCGATGGCAAAAGCATCAGGGCGGCTGCCTGTCCCCTCGCCGCTAGCCTCCGCGAGCAGCCCGCTACGTTCTCGCCTGGTGGGAAGCCGGAGCCCCAGCCTCCTGCGAACCATCGCCGGGCTCCGCCTCCTCTTCTCCCAACACCTGTTTCAACCACCGGTCCGCGCCGGTCTCCTGCCTAAAGAAGCACCAGATGACCAGAACCGTGAGGGAGAGGCTGAAGGGCAACACCCTCCACCAGGGCCGTTGCTGCTCCTTTCCCAGGGAATGTTGCACCGTCCAGCAGGACGGGTGGGCTCTGCTGGAGGAGAAGTGAATGGGACGGTCAGGGTCGTCCTCTTCCTCGGCCGCGGGCGGAGCCTGAGCCCGGCCACCGGGCGGCGGCTGGTTTCGGGAAGCCCAGCGCACGAACCTAAACGCCCGGACGGCCCTAGAAGAGAGACAGCCGTGAGCGCGCCCGTCAGTGGCTCCCACCCTCGGCCCCTCCGAGAAGCCGCACAGCTCACCCAGCCGCCGGCACACACAAGACGCCGCGCATCGCGACTAGACCTCCACACTCGGCGCCCGGGCGCGGCCTGTTTGCGTCACTTCCGATGCGCGAAACCGGAAGCCGGACGCCGTTCGAGGCCTCCGTTCACGACTACAGAACGTGGGTCCACTCGCGCGACGGAAATGACGCGCACTCTCAGGCGGTGTCTTCCGTCGCAGCCAGTCACCCTCGGTAGGCCGCCAGGGCATGCCGGGAAGTGTAGTTCGCTCCCAGCCCGAAGAGGAAGGAGCCGTGAGGGCCTTGGGTGCAGGGCCCGGCTGGAGCAAGATCGTCACCCTGACCCCCACGCACCCCGCACCCTTCCCGCGGTGCAGGTGCAACCCCGGGACCCGTGCGGCTGCGTCACCGCAGGTCCTCGCCCACGTCCTGGTGCTCTGCGTTGCTCCGTGCAGCGCACCCAGAGCTGCGTCTAGCCCCAGACCGTTTGTGTGGCGGCGTTTCGGCGCAGTGCTCGGCCTCCCGGCCGCGGTCCGTCAGCTGGCGCCGCAGGGCAAGCTCACGGCGCTCCCCGCGCGGCCGGCCTGCTCGCCCGGGGCCCGCGGAACACGTGCCCGCGTGCGCGGGGCCCAGAGCGCTGCCTCTTGGGGCACCTTCCCGCCCGCCTTCCCGAATCAGGCTGGGGGTTGTCCTTCGGGCTGTCCCGGGGTTTTGTACTCCGCCCGGTGGGAAAGCTGCTGGAGCTTTTGTTCTCAGGGCGGACTGGCCTTGGTGTGGCTGATCTTTCCCGTCAGAAGACCACGCAGGGCGTCCAGGCATCATCACAGACGTCGTGGGGATGTGTGTGTGTGTAGGGGGGTGACTGGTGACAAAATCAGATCACGAGGCCACCTTGTGAACTCTGATGTGCTGCCTCCCTAATTCAGCATCTTTATCTCTGGAGCGCCTCTCTCCTGTACCTGCTTCCCGGAGAAACACCAGACCGGTTCTGTGTCTCGCCCCGTCCCCGCCCCGCCAGGGACTCCCCAGAAAGTAGGGCGAGGGTGGCAGGCTGGAGATGTTCCCGGCGCAACAACATCTGGGAGTCCGCCGACCTTGGGAAGCCAGTCCCTGATGCCCTGGGCTCAGCTCCCAGCCCAGGACTGTGTTCAGAGCTACTGTGTCAACAGAGGCACCTGTGTGTCCGGGTCCTCCTCGCTGGGCCCCACCCCACCTGTTCCACCCTGTCGATGCAAATGTACCAGCGAGAACGCTCGAATATAAAAAGAAAACAGAGTTTTATTCAAACCCGAGTTAGGAGAGCTGCCCAGGAAACAGATCTTAACTGGGAAGAAAGAGTTCTGGAGAATGAACTGTTTTTACAGAGTTATATACTTTTTTACGTCTTGTAAAAGCTCAGAAGATTATAGATTAGTGTTTAAGCAAGAATTATGAATTTTAACTTCGAGGAATGCAGGGAGCAGGAGTGTGGATGATCTCTCAAAAGACGAGGGTTTTCCCTTAGGCAACTCATTCACAAAACAGATGTAACAATGGGTGTGTGGAGGGCCTTAAGTCAGGCTTTGGATTTAAAGTTTATGTAAAGTCATCCCAATACAGAAATCTAAAATGGCTTCCCTTGTATATCAGACTTTAGAGAGCTTTTCTCTCATCTACCTCAGAACCCCATCCGA